AATGGTTTTCTGATTTTCTGAATGGTTGGAAGATCACAATTCTTAACTGACCACAGAAAAAGTCCAGGAGTTCCCTTGCTCAGGTTTTTTTTCTTCTCATTTTCTGCTTCCTGTTCCGATCTGGTATCTGTTCTTTTCAATGCGTATTTAAAGGAGTACAATTATTAGTGCTCGGGGAAGATTTGTGAAGTGCTACTTCTCCATCTTGCTGGCCATGTCACAGAATCCATCCAGAAAATTCCAGTCTGTAGCTGTACCAAATTCCAGGTATTGGTACAAATAACAGACAAAGTTAATGAAACACTGTCCCTTAGGGAAGATTTCCCACGTTTTAAAAATCTGTGTGAATAGATAGAAAAATGGTCAGATCAAGTGTATATCAATTTAGATCCACGACAATATCAATTTAAACTGTCAAAAAGTTGTGGGTTTTGATGATGGTGCTACTGCTTTTTAGACTAAAAAAATTAACAATACTGACCTGAAAACTGTGAGACATTTTTCAAATATTTTAATAAATGCTGGAGATTAAATAAGGTGTTTACCCTCAATTTAAACACAGAATGGAAAAGGAGATTTTCTCCTCATTTTAAACCCTTTTCCCCACAAAACCTCAATTTTCTGGGGTTAGTGGGATGGACAGGGAAAATGAAAGGAAAAAGAACTTCTTGTGCCTCCACTGTGCCCCACCTGCTCAGGTGGGTTAGGGTAGGTGTGTTCCCCTCCCCTCCCCTGCTCAGGGGGGTTAGGGTAGGTGAGTTCCCCTCCTCTCCTGCCCCTCGGCACAGGGCCTGTCCCTGCACACTTGGGCAGTGCCCCAGGTCCTCGCCAGCCCCTGTGACAAGGTCTCACCACCACCCCGTGAGAGACTCCCTGGAGTCTCCCCTTGCAGCTCTTGGCAGCAGGGCAGCCAGGTGTCACACACACCCCAGCAGCATCTGCCCCCTCCTCATCCTCACTGGCCACACCCGAGGCTGCTGCACATCAGGAAGTGGAGACACCTGAGTGGGGGGACATGTGTGAGGGGTGGCACCACAAACCCAGAACTGGGCCACTGGGCCCAAAGGGCTCCCCAGGATGTAGATGCATGAACAAAGCTTCATAGAATAGAGAAGGCCCAACAGTTTTTGTATTTTACACACAGAGTCATGATAAAAGTCACATTTTTTAATAGTTAAAATAACAGTGAAAGTTACTGGTTAGTTACAGCAGTGAGCTTCATACAGCATCCCACCTTCATGGACTTATCAGAAGAAGCAGTTTCAGGTTCTTTCATCTCCTCCCACACTTGGGAAAGCCATTTTTAACCAAACTGCTTGGCAATTTTCTCATTTGAATAAAAGCAAGCACTGGCAACAACCAACAAGTGAAAAGGAAATCAGAATATCTTGGAGACATGGTGGGATGGCTCCTATGACTAGAGCACTGGGATGGAAGGGCTTAGGCTTTTTAGGAAAGACAAGCTAGGAGGATGAGGAGGGGATGCAGCCCTCTAGAGATATGGAACTCTGCCTGGGGAAGTACGAGAAGCCAGCTGAGAGCTTGTGGGTGAAGGTTAAGGGGAGGGCAGGGACATTAAAGACAACAAGAAGGGCTTCTATAGCGATGTTGCAAGCAAGAGAGTTGGGGTAATGTGGGCTCCCTCCAGAAGGAAACAGACCCTGCACAAAGAGAAGACTGATGTTCACAAGGACTTCTGTGCCTCAGTCTTCAATGGCAAGTGCCCCAGCCATGCTGCCAAGCTGAGAAAGGCAAATGCAGGGACTGGGAGAATGAAGACCCTGAGCCCACTGAGAGGATCAGATTTGAGACCATCCAAGGAACCAGATTTGAGACCATCCAAGTGCTCAAGTCCATGGGACCTGAAGAGATACATCCCCAGGCCCAGAGGGAACTAGCAGAAGTTGCTAAGCCATTATCCATAATTGTTTGAAAAATTGTGGCAGTTAGGTAAAGTCCCTGGTGACTCGAAAAAGGAAAATATAACCCCCATTTTTAGAAAGGGGAAAGCAGAAGACCTGAGGAACCACTTCTACCCAGAGCAATGGTGACAGTACTGCACAGCCCCATGGAGCTGCTTCTCCTATCTGGCTCTACAAGATCCTCCACTTCCATCACCCTCCTCCTCACTGCTTCCACAGGACAACTGCTGCCCAGCTCTGGAGATTGATGGACATTTCCCAGACATTTCATGGGCAAAGGAGTGGTGAGGATGTGTTGCGATGGTGTGGGACCCGAGCAGGACATACACGACATGGATTAATAAAGGCTGGAGAACATGCTGAGTTGGGCAGGAAGAGTTCAATTGCTTCCAGTGGGCCTGTGGTTTGGATTTGTGCTGAAGAGACTGTTGATAGCCCCAGGATGTTTCAACCACTGCTGAGCATCAAGGCTTTTGGTGCTCCTCACAGCATCCTGCCAGCAAATAGGCTGATGTTGCACAAGGAGCTGGGAGGAGAGTGATAAACCCTACAGAAGGGCTCATTCAGGAGAGTGATAAACCCTTCCTTCTCAGCAAGGAAGGAGAAGCAGTGTGGTAGCCCTGTATATGAGGGCACATTTTGACTCTAGAAATTGACAGTGGTGATGAAAGGGTCGAGGGTTGATGGGTAAGAATCAGGGGAAGAGCAGACACCAAAGTGTGAATCTTCTCAGGAAGGCTGGTAGGCAGATTGGTAGCTCCCAGTGTCCTTCATTCTACCCTTAGAGCAGGGTGCAATGAAGTTTCCTGGATTGTCCACAGCTTTCCTTCTATGACAAAGTGACTTGCTTGGTGGGAGAGAAAAATGCTGGGGATGATGTTTACCTGGGCTTTTATTAAGCCTTTGACACCATTCCCCAAAGCATTCTTGTGGAGAAACTGGCTGCCCATGGCTTGGACAGGTCCACCATTCACTGTAAAAAAGGGTCTGGATGGCCAGACCCAGAGAGTGGTAGGGGACAGTTTAATTCAGCTGCTATCCAGTCACCAGTGGGGCTCCCCTGGGAAGCACTGAGACCAGTCCTGTTTCTATCCATGACCTGGAGGAGGGGACCCTCAGCCAATTTGTAAAGGATCTGCCAGAGGACAGGAAGACTCTGCAGAGGAACCTGTAGAGGCCCAGGGATTGCACTGTCCCAGGCAGTTCCTGAAACCCCCTTCTCCCCTGCCCCTCCCTGGCCACTCATTCTTACTACATCCTTTTTCTCAGCTGGGTCCAGCACCGCCGCCACCACCGGGGTCTCAAGCGGATGCTGAAGCAGCGGCGGCGCTGACCGTGTCGTGTCTGCCAGGCCTCCAGGTATCTCTGCAGGCGGGCATGGAGCTGCTCCAGGAGCCTCCCAGCAGCAGTGCCCGTGCTGTATTCCAGCTCCACCGAGCTGCTGCTGCTGCTGCTGCAGCTGCTGCAACTGCTTTCCAATACAATGGGATTCATGATCACCACTAGTCTGGGGAGCAACCTGGCGATCGCCACAGATCTTCTGCGTTGCAGCATCAGGGAGCTGCTGCTACTGCATCGACTTATGTCCTTAGGTTTGCTCTCCTCTGTCACCTTGTACATGTCTGGCCTTGCCAACTCCACTCCAAGGCACTGGGGACGCTCTCTGGCCCCCAGCAGCTTTGGTGCAACATGCGGATCAGCCTGGACCACCCTGCCGCTCCCTCGGCTCCCTCGGCCCCATCGCCACTGGGACAGCTGAGCCTCCAGCTCCTTGCGGTGCTCCTCGAAGAGCGCCTGCGAGTCCTGACAGCTCCGGATGAACCTTGGGAAACGCCTCCTGGAGCTCATGGAGCCGCGTGGGGAGCTGCCGTGGGGCAGCCCCAGCTGTGCTGATCTCCATGCCCTGCCCACGCTGCTCTGCCCCTCCAGCCGGCCTCTGGCTGCGCTCGGATGCTCTGAGCTCTGATGGATCCTCTGCAAGAACCACGGATGGGTGAGACAGGAGCAGCTCCCCAGAACGCTCCACACTGTCCTGCCATGCATGGCACACCACCAACACACCCCAAACCCACACGGCCCAGCCCATCCCAGCCCAGTCCAGCCCAGCCCGGCCCACACAGCAGATCAGAGGCCACCTACCCACAGACACTTGTCCCGTAGCATGACAAAGACCAGGATGAGCTGCAGCAGCACCATCGTGATTGCCACCAGCTCACCCATGGTGAAGATGTTGAGGAGCCCCATGGCACCGTCTGTGGCAATCCAGGTCACCAGCAAAGGCTGCTGAAGAGGCTCCCCAGAGACCTGCAGGATCCCAGTGAGGGAATCCAATCCTGCTGGGGTGGCAGAGGCTGGGGCTGCTGTCTGCCAGGACACTGCCAGACTGTGGTGCCCAGCAGTTTGCTCCTGTGAGGCCCCTTTTATAGCCTGGCAGAGTCCCCTGTGTGACATCATGAGGCAGCCAGAGCCCTCTTTGTGACAGTGTGGGGCAGTCAGAAATCCCTTTGTGACAGTGTGGGGCAGCCAGAGCCCTCTGTGTGCCATCCTGGGGCAGCCAGAAATCCCTTTGTGACAGTGTGGGGCAGCCAGAGCCCTCTGTGTGCCATCCTGGGCAGTCAGAACCCCCTTCTGGATACCCAGGAGCCCACAGGAGGCCAATGGAGAGCCCTTGCTGCCATGCATTCCACATTGCCCTGCTGAAACCTTCAGGATTCTTGAAGTCTGTCAGGTGGTAACAATTTCATTTGACATCACGAATCTGTTTTCGGTTGTTGTTGGATCTGTAATTGCTGGGAGCGGGAGGAGGCTAACTGCTTCATAAAATACATCTCTTCTGAATAGATGATTTGTCTCAATTTCATAAGCCTCCATGACATAAGGGCAGTGATCATGCCCCTGTGCTGGGCACTGGCGAGGTCGGACTTCAAATCCTGTGTTCAGTTTTGGGCCCTGCATAACAATAAAGACATTGAGGTTGCTGGAGTGTATCCAGAGAAGGGCAACGAAGCTGGGGAAGGGTCTTGTGCTTTAACCCCAGCTGGCAATTCAGTAAAGAAAAAAAAGTGAGAAAGAAACTCATAAAGTGAGATAATTCAATAAATAGAAACAAATTCCAAAAATATTGGATGAGAGAAAAGAAAGAGAGAAGAAAAACAAATAAAGTTAATATTAACAATTTCTCTGCACCCAACAAGTGATGTGCAGTCAGTCAGTCACTTATGATGGAATCACAGATTGGTTTGGGTTGGAAGGGACCTTAAAGATCAAGTACCACCATCTTGCTATGGGCAGGGACACCTTCCACTGGACCAGGTTGTTCCAAGCCCCATCCAACCTGGCCTTGGACACTTTCATGGATGGGGCAACAACAGCTCCTTGGGGCAATGTGTGCCTGGGCCTCACCAGCCTCACAGGGAAGAATTTCTTCCCAATATCCGATCTAAACCTACTCTGTCTCAGTTAGAAGCCGTTCTCCCTTGTCCAGTCTCTCCAGGCCCCTGTAAATAAGTCTCTCTCCATCCTTCTTCTTGGCCCCCTTCAAGTACTGCGAGGCCACAATTGGGTCACTTCAAAGCTTCTCTTCCCCAGGCTGAACAATGCCAATTCTCTCAGCCTTTCCTCATAGCATAGACGTGCTCCATCCTTCTGATCATCTTGGGGTCTCCTCTGGACTCTCTCCAGCAGCTCCACGTCTTTCCTGTGCTGAGACCCCTGAGCTGCAGGCAGCACTGCAGGTGAGATCTTACCAGAGCAGGGCAGAAATGAAGAATCCTCATGGGTTTCCCTACCCATGGCAGGGAGGTAGAAGAGGATGGTCTTTACAGCACCTTTCAACCCAAACCACACTGCTCTTCACCTCTAAGGACTACTGCTGCCAGCTGCTTTTGAGGTACTTTATTTACAGCAACACAAAGAGCTGTAAAAACTCAACAGCCAGTGAGGTGTGAATCCGCTGTAACTGTCCCTCCTGATCCCACCTTCACAAACGCATTCTGGATACAAAGCCTTTGTGGAAATATTGTGCTGTTTTTGGACCTAGAGTGAACAGATGTCTCCCCACAGTGCAGTAGCAGGGTTCAGCCCTGCTTGGTCCCACTCAGTGGCTGGTCAGGATGCTGCTGAGGTTCAGCAAGACAGGCTCTGGGTTCAGGTGTGTCCCAAAGGAGAAGCAGTTTCCACCTCCACCAATAACCAACAGCTCCTTCTCATCTGGCAGAAAGACACTGCTATGATTATGTAGCATTAACGGCCACTCCAGGTGCTCCTGAAAAAGGAAAGGAGATTTTGAACATACAGAACTTCATGTGGTCCACTGTACCACCCCTGAATGTGGGCAGATAGCTAGAGAATACAGGAACAAGGAACCTCTGAGCTGTACTCCTCCACAACACCCACCCACCAACTTGCAGCTCAGTGATTTTTTAATGAGAGAAAATGCCTTTGTACTCCCTGAATCTTGAGGCTTTTCCTCCCAAGAAGGTAGCCAGTTAGTTTGTGATTCAATGTAAATCTTTGGCATTAATGGCCTGTGGCAAGGAGTTCCAGAGCTTATCTATGTAACTGGTGGGTTCAAAAGCCTAGAGAGTTTCACCTTAGTCAAAGCAAACAGCTCCTAAGCAAAGCAAGACACCAATCCATCTGCATCCGTTTATTCAGTGTAAACAAAAAAGTTACATTCTTTTAGATACAACTTTACTATCACTGTACCTATCCTCATTGCTGTCCAACAAGGGCAGTCTATTTTATCTAAAGGATATGAGGCCACTTACAACTTCTGCTACAGGCAATAATTGAAAACTAAGCTACAATTAAGCACTTTTCATGCTTTTATACCCTCAGCAAAATGCTGCAAGATCAACTGGATGCACACACACTGTTCACTATAAAAAACTGACTCGTCACAAATTCCAGTTTCACCAACAACAGGTTCCATATGTACAGTTATCAAAAGAAAGTAGTTTCTTTACATAAAAGATAAATAAAAACTTGTCAGGCCAATGTTCTTACAGAATCACAGAATGGTTTTGGATGGGACCTTAAACAATGCCACCTTGCTCCACCCCCCTGCACTGGGCAGGGACAGCTTCCACTAGACCAGGTTGCTCCAAGCCAAATCTAACCTGGCCTCCAACTCTTCCAGGGATTGGGAAGCCAAAGCTTTTCTGGGCAGCCTTTGTCAGTGCCTCACCACTACTCATAAAAAATTTCATCCATATACCCAGTTTGAAGCTACTGTCCTTTAGATGAAAACCACCACCCCGTGTCCTATCACTACAGGCCCTGCTAAAATGTCTGCCCCCATCCTTCTTGCAAGGCCCCCTTTAAGTACTGGAAGGGGCTCTAAGGTCTCCCCAGAGCCCTCCCTCTCTCTTAAGGCTGAACAACCCCAACCCTCTCAGCACATTCTCACAGGACATCAGCTCCAGCTCTCTGCTGATCTTTGTGGCCCTTCTATGGATTTCATCCAACAGATCTATGTCTTTCTTTTACTCAAGGCAGTATTATCTGACATAAGGGCTACTCAGAGACGTAGACCAAGTTTTAGCCAGAGTATGCCAAAATCCTGCTGTTTGACACCACCTGTATGACTGCTCTTCAGTGATTCATAGAAGAAAGTTACCAAATAGTCAAAGTTGGAAGGGTCCTCCAAGCACCATCCAGTCCAACCACCCTGTTCAAAGCAGGCTCAACTCAAGCAGGCTTTTCAGTAGCTTGCCCAGTCAGGTTTCAAATATCTCCAATAATGGAAATATTACATCCTCTCTGAGCAATCTGTTCAGGGTCCAATCATCCTTACAGGAAGCTTTTATGTTCCAGTGGAGTTTCCAGCATTTGTGTGCTAGTTTTTTTCTCATGTTTCAGGCAGCAGCTAGAGCACACCAGTTTCCACCCAGAAGATCTCAATGAAATTATACTACAGACCTTAAAAACACCAACTTAGCCTCTGGTTTATCTGTTCTCTTCCTCCACAGACATCCCAAAGTGACCATTTCAGTTCTGCTGCCCCTTGTCCTAAACAGAGCAGCTCCATGTTCCAGTCTTCTGCACATTCCATCTGTCCCTCTCTTAACCCTGTATGTTCTCTGTGCTGGGTAACAGCACTTTGGAATTAGATCCTACCTCTCCATAAAGTGACCATGTTCTTTCACAGGACAATGTTTACCCTGAAAGCAAAGTTTCAGTACTTACCACATTAATCACATAGTTCAAGCAGAGACCAGTCATTAAGTCGATGACAGTGACACCGGGCACAGAGGATGCATGCAACCACACTCCACCAACGAGCAGAAGCTTTCCTTCATGCACATGTGCAGTATGTGAATACCTGGGAGTTCAAAATGAGGTTGAACTCCATTAGCAAGGGATGCTGGTAGAGACAGGCTGAAGATTCTCTGCTGAATGCTCTGAGCAACCTGTCTAGTTGAAGATACCCATTGCAGGGAGGTTGCACTACTTGGCCTTTAAGAGGTCCCTTTCAAATCAAACTATTTTATGATGCTATGAATGCCTTGTGCTTACCGTGGGACTAGAGGAGGGTGTGTCTCTATTGTCTGCCACTGAAAGCCATGTTCAAGCTCCTTCAGAAGGAAAACGGAACCCAAGGGCTGCTCAGCTGCTCCCAGACCTCCTGCAATCAGCACACCTCCTTCCCAGCTGCAGGCACTGTGAGAGTGGCGGCCTTCTGGGACTGGACCCTCAACAGCAATCTGAAAAAACACAAGTCCAAGGCTGAAGTTTGCCAAGCTAAGTATCTGCTTAATGTCCAGGTTTTAAATGCCTTTTCCCGTGTGGTTGAGTTTTGTGACACCCAACCTTCCCCACATGTTCCTCTAGGGACTGCTCCATGCTTCCATTTACACTGTCTCTGGCCCTCAGTACATTTAATATAATCAGCCTTTAGAGACTTTATTTTCACACATTTATTAGAAGTAACTTTATCTGCATTCTTGCAGGATGCTTTCTGCTCAAGACATACACCTTGGAACTCCAAATTTGCTTAGAAACACATGGACTAATGCAGTGACCAGCAAAGGAGGTGATCAGTTACTCAAACCACAGAGTGGGTTAAAAGGCTCAACTGCAGGACTAAAATCTAGAAAGAAAACCTTTAGTGCAAGCACTAAAGGAAAAATGTAAGGTCAGGCATTAAAGGAATATCACAGCAAATAAGTGATGTAGAAAAATTTGGAGGTCACTTGGTCCACACCTTTTCCCTACAACAAATTAAACTATATGTTATCATCTGGATGGATGGATGTTTATGTAACAGTTTCCAAAAGTCTGCAGTGACAAGAATTTCTCACCTCTTTAGGTAGTCTATTGCAGACTCAGCTAGATTCACCATCAATTCACCATCAACCATTCCTTAGTGTCCATCTGATTCCCTGTACTACTCAAAGTTAAAATGGAGAACAGTTTTTTCTTCTCAACAGTAGTATTTTAGATATTAGAAGATTTATTTCTATCTTGAATCTTCTTCAGATCCAATAGCTAGAAGACCTTTAAAATCCTGCGAGGTATGTGGACTGGTCATTCTTGCTGCATACCTCTATACAACTGTTTTACACCCTATCTCCTTTTCAGCTGTCAGCTTTGGGTATTTTACAGGAGTTCTTCTGAGATTAAAAACATTGTAGAAAAAAGAAGCAATTCACATGTCTACCAGATAACATTCCTGGTTACATAACTGAAGACACAGGGTAGGCCTCCCACAACAGTGGGATATTGCTTACTCATGTTTAGCTTGTGACCTCTAGCAATTATGCATCTCTCACCCTACAGGTGTGCTATGTACAAGGCTGGGTTCAAAGAGTTATAGTAAACAGAGTTACACAGGCTGGTGGCCAGTACATAAACGAGGGAGTAAGTCCTCTGCCACTCAATTTCCTTTTATGACACATTCAGCAATCTAGTTGACTGAGGCAGATGTGGAGATGGTTTTGATTGTAGCAAAGCTACACTGTCTCTAACACTATCCTTCCACAAAAATGTCCAGCTCACAGCTAGATAATGATGGGAGAGGTGAAAGAAGACAGACAATATATTCTCAGTAGCATCCAGCAAAAGGCCAAGAGGCAATGGGCACAAACTGACATCAAAAAAAAATAGACATAAAACCCCCTCATATTGTTCTATCAGGGTGGTCAAGCACTGGAGTAGGTTGCCCAAAGAGACTGTGGAGTCTCCATCTATGGAGATAATCCTACCTGGACAATATACAGAGCAACCTGCTCTAGTTAGATCAGTTTTAAGCTAGAGTGCTGGACTAGATGACCTCCAGATGTCCCTTCCAAGCTCCACTGTTCTGTAGAGACTGTATTTGACTGAAAAGCTGGGTGTTGAGCAGTCAGCTCTAGCTGTAATCCCCACAGAGTGCATTCTTACCACAGTGCAGGAGAGTTCTGGAGCGTGCAGGAAATGCCAATCCCCGAGCACAGGCTGCAGAGCAGAGCGGCCACCATACACAAACAGGTACTGCTCACCTAGGGAAACACAGCCAGGAGGCAACAGAACTTACAACCCGGTGTGCCACAGCAGCAAAAACTTCTATTTGCATAGAAGGGAAGCTGGCAAAAGGGTGCAATAATACTTTGGGTAGATGTCAAGGACTTGCATTTACTGCACTGTGCCCTGTCCTTTCACTGATTCAGAATGGACTATGCAGATAACACCAGTGTTGGTCACTTTCTTCAACTACAAAGCAATATCAAGGCAAAAGTAAGATGAAACAGTACAGTCTGACAAAGACAAAACCCAATGTATAATTAATACAATTTTTTAGCATTTGCTTTTTTGATATAAAATTCTGACTGGAAGGCTTAATGCTACAGTGTTAATTAAACATTGTTCCATGAATGGGAAGTGTGCTCCAGACTAGACTAACAACTGCTTAACAATTCCCTTCTGCTCCCCTTGGAGAGTTCCCTGGCAGCTGCAGGAATGGGACACCTTAGGAAAGGACAGCTTTCAGCTCCTGAATGCCACTGCTTAAGTTTTTGCCCCTTACAACCTGGATCTTTTAATAGACCAACCTTCAGCTTGCTATGGCAGGACCTGATTCTAGAGCTGTTCACACCTACTGAGTGTTTGTCAATTGCTACTAGAAAAGTAACGTTTCTTCTGAAGGACTTTGGGATAAAGAGCTTGGGATCCTGTTCCCCAAAAAATATCCTTCAGAGAGAGCAAAACTTATTTCTGCCATGATCAAGCATGAGTAACTTCAGCCATAAGTGATCTCAAAGAATCAGTCTTCCAGAATGGATTACAGTAGGTTTCAATCCTATTTGCCACTGGGGATAATGAGATAACCAAATAAAAAATTACCATATTTGAAGTGTCAAGAAGAGATCTCAAAGCCTCCTAATTTCTTTACTACTGTCAGGCTTGAGGAATGATCATTATGAACTTAATGAAATTCAACAAGGTCAAGTGCAAGATCCTGCATCCCTACAGCCATTTCCACTCCTTCCAGGCTTTTTACCTTTGAATGTAATTTCAGTTGTGCTGTGTCTCCAACGCAAAGCTGCTGCTTCAGCAGCAGGCTGCAGATTTACAAGCTCCACCGCAACATCACCTGGGCCTGAGGCACCCCAGGTTTCAGGGAACTTCAGCCACAACATTCCCAAGCCTGTGCTCGACGGGGATGTTCGTCCTCCTACCACCAGAGCCAGAGTGTCCGAGACACGAGACACAGTATGGTACAACCTCTCACCTGTGGAGATACAAAACATCATGCTTCACACAGGCGGTTTTTCCATGAAATTTATAATCATTTAAGTTGGAAAAGACCCTTAAAGATTATCAAGTCCAACCATTCCTCTGGCACTCTCAAGGGCAAAACTAAACCATGTTCCCAAGAGCCACTTTCACATGGCTTTTAAATGCTTCCAGGGATGTAAACTTCACCACTACCCTGAGTAGCCTGTGCCAGGCATGGACAACCCTTTTCTTCAAGACATTTTTTTCAATATCCAATCTAAACCTCCCTGGCACTTTGCTTGAAGCCATTTCCTCTTATCCTGTCCCTTGTCTCCTGGGAGAAGAGGCCAACCTCCACCTGGTTACACCCTCCTTTCAGGTAGTGGTAAAGAGTGAGAAGCTTCCCCCTGAGCCTCCTTCTCTTCAGGCTGAGCTCCCTGCCCTGCCCAGTTCCCTTGGGCACTACTACAGAGCTTACAGCAGTGGTGCATGAGGGAAGAGCAACAGAGGCCATCTACCTGGACTCACACAAAGCATTTGACACTGTCCTGCCCAGCACCCAGTGTCTAAACTGCAGACATGGATTTGACAGATGGAGCACTCAGTAGATTGGGAACTGGCCGGATGCTCTCTCTCCAAGAGCTGCAGCCACTGGCTCAGTGTCTGTGAGGAGACCAGTGGTGAGTGCTGTTGTTCAGGTCTCTCTAGGGACCAGCACTATTTAACATCTTTGTTGGTGACATGGACAGTGGGACCGAGAGCACCGCAGCACACTTGCCAATGACAAGGACCTGTGTGGTGCAGCCATGCACTGGAGGGACAGGAGTGGCATCCAGAGGGAACTGGACAGGAGAGGTGGGATGTGCGAGCCTCATGGGGTTCAGCAGGACCAAGGGCAAGGTCCTGCACCTGGGCTGGGACAATCCAAACATAAATACGGACTAGTCAGAGAACGTATCAAAAGTGGCTCTGGGGAGAAGGACTTGGAGGCATTTGTGAACAAAGCAGTATGTGCTCACAGCACAGAAAGTCAACCATGTCCCAGGCTGCATCAATGTGTGGCCAGCAGGTCAAGGAAGATGATTCTCACCCCCTATGCTGCTTTTCTGAGACCCCACCAGGAGTTCTGCATCTAGGTGTGGTGTCCCCAGCACAATTAAGACATGTAGCTGTTGGAAAAATTCAGAGTCCACTAGCTTGATCACAGGGTTGAAGCCCCTCTGTTCTAAAGCCAGGCTGAGAGAGTCTGGGCTGTTCAGCCCAGAGAAGTGAAGGCTCCAGGCAGACCTTAGCACCCCTTCCAGTGCCTAAAGAGACTCCCAGAGAGCTGGAGAGGGACTTTGGAAAAGGGCCTGCAGTGACAGGACAAGGGAAAACAGCTTCCAACTGCCAGACTGCAGGGTTAGATGGGATATTGGGAACAAATTCTTCTCTGTGAAAGTGTGGAGGCCCTGGCACAGGTTGCCCAGAGAAGTGGCTGCCATTTGTCTAGAAGTGTTCCACACCATGCTGGATGGGGCTCTGGTGAACCTGGTCTACTGGAATGTGTCCCTGCCCTTGGCAGAGGGTTGGAGCTAGATGATCTTTAAAGTCCCTTCCACCCCAACCCTTCTGTGATTCTGTGACTCCAGCCCCTCACTGTCTCTCTTTCTGTTAGAGGCCCAGAACTGGACTTGGCACTCCCAAGGGTCTCTGCAGTGCCCAGTAGAGAGAGACAATCACTGCTCTAGGCCTGTGGCCACACTAGGCTGGTACCAGCCAGGTGCAATTTGCTTTCTTGCCCACCTGGGCTCATGTTCAACCACTGTCAAACAGAACCCCCAGGTCCTTTTCCAGCTTTCCAGTCACCCTGCCCTCAGCCTGGGGCACTGCATGGGGCTGTGATGACCAAAGGGCAGGATGGGACATTCAACAACCAGATCTGTCAAGTGTCTGTGACTGCAGCATCACTGTGCCATGACAGCACTTCTTCACCAGACTTTCTCTCTCTTTTAGCACAAAGGTACCCCCCTTGCATTGCCATGGGTATGGGAACTCACCCCATCTTTGATCAGGAACATTCGGTGTCACACAGACAGCTCCCCAGTGGCCTGCATGCCTGCTCAGCAGGTGGACATTCCTCACACGGCAGTGCTGTCCATCCTCCTCCCCAAAGCCTCCCGTGGTCACAATCACATTGGGCTTTACAAGAACAGAGCGGTGACCGTAACGCCTCAGGCCAGGAATTGCTGAGAGCCCTGCACACACTGCTGCAGGGACACTGCCGGCCACCCCGACAGGACCAGTGTGACAGGGAACTGGAGACAAAGAGAAACAAAGAACTTGGGCACAAATGCAACCAAGGACTACATCTTAAGCAAGAGATTAAGCACGTCACCTTTTCAAAATGACCATTCATCTTTTCAAGAAGCAATAATTGAGAAGCAAGTTGACAGTGCACCCAGATAATCTGACATGCCCTAGAAATCAGGATGTAATGGTTAAAACTACCACTGTACTAACTGTAACTTCTACTCTGCTCACTCAGCTCCTGCAATTCTGAGACTGCTTTCATGGGATGGACATAGGACTGGCCAGGCAAGTGCAGTGTCCTAAACTGCTGCAGCAAGATATGAACCACTACAGTATCTTCAAAAGGAGGATGTGTCTGATTAAGGCAATATTTGGCTACATGAACAGCAAAGAACAGCAGAAAAAGGACAAACACCTGGAAGGTGATTTCAAAGTTTCTTCCCAGATTTTGATCCTACCTTCACAGAAGCACTGAAATAACATTCTGAAGCATGACAAGTAATCTATTAACTCCAGTGGTCCTACTATAGGAGAGTGTTTCCAGTTACCTAAGTATCTTCTCTCTAAATATTATATCCCTTAGCAATGAAGCAAACTCTCAGCACAGGACTCTGGCTCACCTACACATTGTTTTCTTTAATCAGTTTGGAATCTGTGTCTTCTTCGTTTTAATCAAGGTCTTTATTCTTGTATTGTAAGAGATGATGAAGAGGAGGAGCAGCTCACAGTCCATTTTTTGTATGCCATAATCAGAAAAATTGCCTGTACTGATCGTTGCTTTGCACAAGACCCTACTTAATCATTTGATGAAGTAAGAAATTTCATCTCCTTGGGCTTAAATATCTTTTTACAGACTAATTTTTTAAAGATGAATGAGTTTTTTCATATCACAAAATGTACTTACCACGATCTCTTTGGAAGATTTAGTACTTGCACTCTCTCTAACTGGGACCCCAGTCTATCTGAGAGGATAACTGGGGGCATTTATTGATATTAGAGACATATCTTTTGCATTCCCAGTAAAATATATCTAAGCATGGACAATTTACTGGACTTTGAAGGCTTTTGCTATCAGTTTTGAATACAACAAAGATAGCAGCAGAAAAACCCTAATCCTGTCTCTAATTAAACAAACGGTTTCACTGTAGTAAAGTTTGTTAAGAAAATGTCAGATTTTTTTCCTTAATTTAATGATAGGTACTATGCGTTTAGGAGCCTTCAAGGATTTAACTTGTAACAATCACACAGTACATTAAATCTCACCCACAGTCATTCAGCTTCCATTTCCCAACATCTTCAAATCTAATTGAGACACAACACATGGATTCAGTGGCCTTGCTGGCCTCAGGAATGCCATCCTGCCCTATCCTTTTTCAGCTGCTTTTCTTGCTCCCTAGAACAGAGATTTCAACTCTCTCTTGAAGCTACAACTACTTGTGGTGCTATACTGTGAACACTAGTGATATAAAACAGGTTAAAAATAACCTTCTGCTTTCTATCCTGAAAAAGGAAGCAATCAGTCAAAATCAGGAATTTCTTGGACTGCCATGGCCCCAAATCCTTTTTATCTTGGAAAGACAATCTTGGTCTTGTCTTTTCCCCACCATCTAAAAAAGGTGACATTCAGATTTAAAAGCAATTCAGAAACAGAAATATGGCAGGTACAATTGCACCCACAAGGGATAAGGAAACAAAGCACAGCTTCATGTCAGGCTCCTGAGTGGTCTGCTGGACAGGGCAGTAAAGAAAACAGAACAACCTTCTGGGAGCTGGAAGGAGAGAATGGTATGTGGAGGCAACCAGGAATAAATTCAAAAGGGAGATCCTGAAAACAGGACTAGGAGCAGGGTAGGCTGGCAATGCAGCCATGCACTGGAGAGGCTCATGTGTGAACAAATGACAAGCTGATCAGACTGAGAGAACAGGAGTGATCAGAACCAGCAGCATTAGGCCACAGCCCTGGCTTGGTTTGGACAGCAGAACTATTGTGGAGGAGTGGAGAAAGCTACCAGACGGCAGCATCCCATCTGCCCCTTCCAGGATTTCAATGGCTTCTAAAACCTCTCAGAGACACCTACGTGAGATAAAAGAATAGTGTGAAAACTACTTGGTGTGTACCTGTCCCACTGGGTGACAACGGAGTCCAGGAAGGTTCCATCCCCTTCGATGCAGCCAACACAAAGTAATGAGAACACTTCAGATGCCATTCCTGTAGCAAGCCCAAAGTAAAAAACAAATAAACAAAAAAACAAACCAATAAAGGAAGAACCAAACAAAAATCAATCCCCTTCAAAATCTTAGGGCAAATAGTAGTAAGGACCTCAAAACAGCCAAGGTGACCAAATCAAATATGAACAGCCTATCACTGTTCTCATCAATGGTCAAAATCAGAGGGGTAAAGCTGAATCGGAGAAAGAACTGGTGGGTAAATACCTTTCTCACTCCAACTTTCAAAAATTTACTTCCAAAAATTTACAAAGCCCAGGGATCTTCTAAGCAAGAAGCTGTGTCTTTGTATTTAACAATCTTTGATGGATTTTTCACCCATGAACCTACCCAGCTGCTCTTTGAACTCACATAAACTTTAACATGCCCAACATACATCCCATAGCTTAACTATGTGTTGCATGGGAAAGTTCTTCTTTTTGGAGTCAGCTTCCCCTTATGCCTCTGAGTTCTGATCATAAAAAAGAGTGAGGTCTTTATACCAGAGGGATTGAAGTGATTCCAAAGAAATCACAAATGTTAAAAGGTGCAATGTGCTCTGTGCCGGACAATAATACATCATTTTCAGTCTGGCCTTAGAAACATTCTGGGGCAGAAGCACAAGCAAAAGGCATGTACAGAAAACCAGCAGCAATGAGAGTTCACTGTGGCGTTTATGGACATTAGGGAATTGAGTGTGTTCAGTCCTGTGGGGTGGGATACATTCAGCCAACTATGTGACTAGCGAGCATAAACATAAATTTAAAAGGCACCAGAACTCATTGTATCAGCTTCATTGCCCCAACCCATATTAGAAGTAAAAAGCATCTTTTGAAAAGTGACAACCAGAAATTAATGTAAATATTGAAAATGGAAAACTATTAGTCCCTAAGAAAATTAGTCTAAAAATACTCTCCCTCCACACTGGGTGTCTATTTTACATTTTTTACCTAATTTGACCAAGCTTGTTTACAATAAGACCTTGGATTTTACTTAATCTTTCTCTCAAAGGCTAATTGTAGAGCTCTCTGTTGTCACATCGTTTACTCTTGTGCACGTTTCCAGCTCGGATTCATGCACATAAACTCCTTTGTAAGAAAAACAATACCAAGTCTTTACCTTCCCACTGTATGAGCAATGACCTTGACCTACAGTTCCAGTAGACATTTCTAAACCACTTAGCAAATCTGCCACCACTTTCAGTCACCACTTTTGCATTCATATAGCAGAGCAGATCCTAGCATATTGGCAAAATAAATTCAAGCACATTCAAGTGTTTTCATACTGCAGTTATTCAATTTCTAGAATTATAAACAGAAAACCATAAAATCAAAAGGGAAACTTCTAGTAAGTATTCCACAGGATATTTAGCTCAAAGTTACTCACTATCTTGGATTTATCTTCACTTCTATACGCCAAATAGTCAGAAACTTTGCCAGCAGTTAATATAAAAATGGCAAAGAACAGAGTCATAGTTGAATTTCAATCATTAATGCAGGAATGGCTGTACAAAGTCAGACCAAAAAAGTCTGAAATTAGTAACCTGTGTCCAACAATGACAAACAATAAAGTAGTCTATGGAAATGGAAGGGAGAAGGAAAAGTGCATCTGCTTTCCCCAGGAATGCTCTCAACCAACTGTAGTCAGGAACAGCACATCAGGTGCATATTTATGTATTCATTAATCCTTAATGAATTTCTCTTTCATTAAAGTAATTGTCCCTTGAATCCATGCCAACTTCTAGCATGTATAACTTCTTTTATACCACCAGGTAGTTTGCTATGACAAGCCTGTCTCCTTGAGAGACTGCTCAAGGAAGGGAGGAAGGAACATGCAGCTTTTCTAAGGTCAGGGAGAGCCTTCTTCCCATGCTGCTTCACCCGGAGCTCCCCATGGCTTAAGTAAACTGATCCAAGGTCCTTTCTGCCTCCATGAACACCTGTGCCCAGCAGCTCTGTATAGAATTGCAACCATAACAAATTGCAAATACCTTATGATATCAAAGCCAGGTCCCTGATCTTCAGAATAATGGAGGGTTACCTCATACTCATCAAAAGGCTCCAGAGTCTGCACTCTTTGCTGCTCATCTTCTGGAACACAACAGGTGAAAAACTCATTCATATCCATGACACTGCACTCAGTCCAGCCCTAAAAGACAAATCCCTTGAAGTTATCACCCCTGGAAGGACAGAAACTCACTTCCCACAGGAAAACAAAGACCCTAAATTAAACACCTGCATGAGCCACTAAGACTGTTTAGCTAAAGCAAGAGCTTCCTAAAAACTGGTGAAAATAGGTCTCTCATCTGTAAAGTTCTTAAAAATTTAACTTATTACATCAAAAGTCCCAGAGGAACCCATTAATCCCATATGAGGCAATAGGCTGCAAGCCAGTTGGAAGCACCTTCTGATGACAATTCATGCTACCAGAGAAGGCAGCAGCTCAGCCTCAGTCCTGTTTGCTTCAGCCCATAACTGAGCAAGCACTGGTGTCCCCCCCATCCTCAGGTAAATCCAGCCTGGTGCCCGCCCTGGAGCTGCAGGTGCTCACCTTGCCCAGGAAGCGCCTGCGCTGAGCCTGGCAGTCGGGGTACAGCGCCAGCGAGCGCAGTGCCGTGCTCAGCTGCCTGAAGTGCTGCTGCATGACACATCCAAAGGGGTCCTCTGGCTGCACCTGCTCGTACAGCAGGAAACACGCCCGAGGGAAATGCTCTGCTGCCCACTGAATCAGGGCATCTGACCTGTTGGGAGATTGTGCGTAAGGAATTAAACTGAGGGCCCTACAAGAGATGCAGTGCATCCTTCTGCAACACCACAGAGCTGCTATTGAGGCATCCTGACAAGTGGCAATACACTAACAAGAGTGCTGGGCTGAACATCTCCTCCCCACCTGCACAGACAACTCAGGGGATGAGAAGAACAAAAACCTCAAAATTGTTCATTTGGGATTTTTCTTCTTTATTTCTTTCTTTCTTTCTTTCCTTCCTTCTAGGATGTCACGTGGACATCAATCACATCATCATAATTACGATGTAGGGAGCTATTTGGGATGCCACAGAATTCCCAAGGTTTTAGTTTCAAGAGACCAGGTCTCTGAGTCCAAGGTGATACACTCAGAAAGAAGCTTGCTGTTTTCCCTTTACCCCTGGGCAAGAGAGGAGAACCAAGCTGACCTGGTGGTCTCCATGTAGGTGAGCACCACCTCTGCGATGAAGAGGGTGGGGATTTCATTGTTCAGTCCTACTTCCTCCAGGGTTCTCTCCAGCTCAGACAGCTCTGATAAATCCACTCCCAGTAATTTATAATCATCTCCAGAAAAGGTAATGGCTCCTGGGAGATAAAAATGATGCAACCTCACTATGGTGCTGCTGCAATACTGAGACCAAAAGAGACAAACAGGAAAATCAGGCAATCACTCACAAGGCTATGTCCATCAACTGTATTTCTCTGTAACAAGTACAAGAAAATCCCCATCACTACATGACCCATGAAGGGGTAGTGCCATGTGATCCATTAACTGCAAGTCTAAAACTCCCGTATTCCTAAAGCAAATTTTACCTACAGACTTCTCATTGAATTATTACACTTACTATAACAACAAAACTTTATTATATTTACCTAAAGAGAATTTTTCCGAACCACTGTAATTCAAAATCAAACCTAAATGGCTCTCATTTATACACCTTTCACTTTAGGCTAGAAAGCACCATTGCTTTGATAGAATTTCAATGGTTCCCCTCACAATTAGAACACGATTGTCAGGTTTCCTAGGCTTGGTTGGTTTGTTTGTTAAACAGATTTCATTTCTGTATAATAGCACTGAGTCCTGAAACTGTACATGCTAGCTCTCAGCAAACACCAGGACCTGACTCACAGATCACCATCCTCAGAAGTAAGTTCCAGTTTCTGATCTGCAAGCATTACCATACCTCTGTAACCCATCAGAATAGGATAAGTTATGGCCTGTTTTTGACCTTTTCAGTCAAAACCACATCATTAACAAAGCAAACTGTAAAGTACCTTTAGAAATCACCTACTCTGTCTCTGCAGCCCAACAACTGTATCTGTCCTGAGGACACTTAACCTACACTGTTGTCAAATGCAGACACTTCTGGAGGTAAAATGGTCTTTTTCAGAAGTCCATCACAGTGTTCCGTTCTAATTTCTTCTAACTTGTCCATCCATCCTTTGCTGACCTCTGGACACAGACAATAGGGTATTTCCAACTATCTGAGACCTTCCTTTAAGTACCTGAAGATACTTGGTATGGACAGAGCTCCCTGCCACCAGGATTCTGCAAATATTAAAAATGTGAATGGATTCAGGAAGGAAAGGAACAAGCCCATGGAAGAGCTACTCACTAAGACCTGTGAGTCAGGAACTCACACTCTCTAGTCTTCCATCTGTATTTAAATTAATCAATGCCATCTAAATGCAGAGGCTAACATATGTCCCTATGGCATTTCATTCCATGTTTGCCAGACCATTTGTGTACTTTGTCAAACTCCTACACTCACTCATCTTACTGCAAGTCCCCATGTTTCCTGCAGGTTTATGACATTTCATATTCTACAGCACGTCATCTAGAGTATTACTAGAAATGCTGGAGGAAAACAGATGCAGGAGAAACCTCTAGTGATCCACATGCTTTACATTCCTCCTTTTGGCCCTCAGCACTCAGCTGGCACAAAATTCTGCAGTGGTTTCACAGGGCTCATTTTCTCCTGCCTTGGAGGGCAAAAAAAAGTCAGGAGACATAACAAGTAATGTTTTATTACAGTCAGGACACTTAACAGTCAAACCTTCTCTCTTTCCCATCAAGCCCATAAATCATTGTATAATTTAGGATGAAAGGGAGATTTAAAAGTCATCCTGTCCAAATACTTCCTCTTGGCAACTATCTGTTGTCATGTTGCTCAAACCTTTGTCCAGTCAAGCTCTATCTCTGCAGTGGTTTTGGTCTCCAAGGCTGGAGAGTCCATTACCTTTCCAGGCAATCTGTTCCCATTTTTAACTACTCATCTGGCACAATCTCCCCCCAATATTTTCTTTATACATCACTGGAATTTCCTTTTTTTTGCCACTTTCAACTGTCCCTTGACTATTTGCTTTATGCCCCCAAGAAAAGTGTGGCTCTGTCTTTTCTAACCTCTCCCAATAGGCAAGCTGAAGAGTGCTGTAAGACTCACCTCCCTCCCAAACTCCTCCCCAGACGGCTGAACAAAACCAGCTCTCCCCTCCTACATCACCTGCTCCATCATTTCATCATCCTCATAACCTCCCACTGGACACGCTACAGTTTGCCACTGGTTTTGGACCAGTATGCTCCAAGCTGGACACACCCTTTCAGAAATTGCAACAGAAAAAACCTGACCTTGGTTTGATATAATCAGCTCCTGACAAATCCATCCTGTCTTCTTGTTATCTCCCAATGCTTACAAATTATTTGTTTCAACGATTTCATAAAATGAATATCCTTTTAATCTACAATTTCATAGTTCCCCTACCATAATCTCTTGCTTTTTGAAGGCTGAAGCTGTGTTTATTCCTTCTAAACACTCTGTGCAAAAAAACATCTTCCATGAATGCCATACCTAATCCTTCCCCTCCGGTGTCTCCCACCAGTGCTGACAACTCCTTCACTCCTTTGATCAGAGTAGCTTTTTGGCATGCCACATCTGGGAAATCCACCTCATATACCACAGTGTGATGCAGAAGACCCATATCCTTCAAACGGAAGTATAAGGAATCAAATCCAGCACCTAAAGACAGGATCTGCAGAGAAAGCGTCAGAAAAAGTTATACTCAACTCTAGCAGCATCTTGAAATCTAGGTGTGAAAAATATTAAATATCATCTGTAGAGTGACAAAATCAGGCAACCTCCTGCAAGAGGCAGAGGAATTTTGTGTGGATATTACCCACCCCCCCGCCCCTAGGTACTTCTGCCAAAGTGACACATGGACAGCCACAGTTCTGCCAGTCAGATTCTGTGCCCTGCTGAGAAAGGGCACAGAACAGATGCACTAACGAGTCACTGCCCAGATGCCAGAAAGACTTTACACACATTTAGGGAGAGATGCCAGAAGTCTCAGAGAAAATGTACCTGTGTCCTGGGCAGGCTTTGTGTCTTCAGCAGGAAGTCCTGAACACAGTGATCCACAGCACGGACACGGATGTAATAACCCCTGTAGGAACAAATTCAGTTGTAATCACTGGCCAGGAACCTGATTTCTCCAGCACTGGCAACTGCAATTTTAAAAAAATAAAGATTTTCTTTTTCTCTAATCTTCTACCCAATAATTCCCTGTTTACAGACCTGAACTGGGAGATGATTTTGTCATCTCTAGAGCTTGCTAATAAATACAGATCTCCTGCAATCAGTGTGCATATTAACCATCAAGACAACAGATAACCCAGAGAAAATGTGCAGATACCCCAACTGGACCTGGTCTGTTTTGCATAAATAAATATTTGCTGAATCCTGACAGTGATGATGCCCCCTGGCAATGCAGATGGCCGATACCTGAGTTCCTGCCCCAAACCACATGTCATAACAACAACATGAATGTGTGTGCTCATGTAGTGAGAAGGGAACAAAAAAGGGAGGAAAAGCAAAGTTAGGAGAGGAATCTTGTTCTCTGCTTTTTGAATAAATGGAACTAAATCAGACTAACTCCTGGAAAGCATTTACCATTTCCCTAGCCTGGCATGGACTGATGCCTCTTGTCTCTTGGCATTCTCTTTTAGTTAGTTTCATCCTAGATCCACCTGGTTATATTCCAGCTTTTTTTCACCCCTTTAACAAGCATGTTATCATCTTCACACCTCACAGGGACTTCACAGTCTAAGATGTCCCAAAATTGTTGATAAATGCAATACAGAACTCTTCCTGTGAATTCAGCTTGGCATGCCAATGTTGTGTGAGAATTCAATGCAGGTTTCCTGATGAGCCACACACATCTTCATAGGCCTGCAAGCTTCTGCTTGAACACCACTGTGTGATTTCCCCCTGAACGAAACTCCTTTGGCAATTCACAGTCTTTTGGATTGCATTAAACTATTCTCCTCAAATTACATAAATTCCACAATGTCATCAGCCTAGAGTCCTCTGCAAACACACATTAAAACATTCTTGTGTCTTACAAAGCTCTGGAGAAGTTCTCCTGGTCAGACACCACTGACTCTAAAGATCTTGCTTCCCAGAGTCACCAGATACCTTACAGAAATTGTAACATTCTGGGGAGATAATGAGAAAGCTATTGATGTTATTACACTATTGGTATATCTTCAAATATTACAAAGTTTTCAGCAGCATTGAACACTAGAGTTAGGAACCAGTCTGGTGGCATATCATTCTCAGGACAAACCATTCAGTTTTGGTCCAGAGCCATGTAACATTATATTAAAAGTCTAACAAGGTTACACTACTGTGAGACAGGGTGCTGCACGTTGCCACTCTGTACTTTGCTTAAACTGTGTTTGAGAGGCTGTGCCTTGCCCAGCTGACAACTCCAAGCACGAAGGCTTGTGGTGGAAGGGACCTGAAGCTGCTCTCGTTCCACCCTTCTGCCATGGCAGGGACACCTTCCACTGTCCCAGGCTGCTCCAAGCCCCAGTGTCCAACCTGGCCATGGACACTTCCAGGGATGAAGCAGCCACAGCTGCTCTGGGCAACCAGAGAGCCAGGGCCCCGCGACCCTCACAGGGAAGATCTCCCTACTGATATGTAACCTACTCTCTTTCAACTCAAAGCCGCTCCCCCCATTCCGTGCTGTCGCTCCTGGCTCTCCGCAGGCCGAGATCCCCTCCCGCGCCCCGCGGGCACCGGGGCTCAGCAGCCGGAGCAGCCGCAGGTGCTGCCGAGCCCTCGCTCCTCACCGGTGGATCAGGGGCGCCCGCCGCCGCCGCCGCCCCGCCAGAAGCCGCAGGAACCGGTCCTGGATGTAGCCCCGCGCTGCCGCCGAGCACTTGCTGACGGCGCTGCTGCCGCCGGTACCCTGCACCTGCCGGGACAATGACACGGCTCTGCTGCTGCTCCCCACCAGCAGCGCGACCCGAGAAACGCACGGGATGGCGGGGCCGGGCAGCCCCGGGAGGACCCCGAGGGGAGCGGACGGCAGTGCCCGCCGCCGTCGGATCCCCCTCCGACCCAGCCTCCGCTTCCCCTCGCTCTCCGAAGCAGCCGGGCCCAGGCTCCCCGGGCTGCTCCCCGCGGCAGCGGGTCCCCGGAGGTCCCTTAGGGCCCGGGGGTCGCTTACAGCCCGGGAGTCACTCGCGGCCCGGGGGTCACTCACAGCACCGGGGGTCACTCACGGCCCGGGGTGGCTCACAGCCCGGGGGTCACTCGGACCCGGGGGTGGCTCACGGCCCGGGGGCGGCTCACGGCCCGGGGGTCACTCACGGCCCGGGGATCACTCACAGCACCGGGACGCCCGCGGCCCATCCTGCGCACACCGCACCGACACCGACCGGAAGCGCGAGCGCACCGCCGGACGCCCAGAGCGCGGAGCGCGCCCCCTGCGGGCCCGGCCTGGCACTGCGATGCCTCCCGCCGGGGCGGGAACCGTCAGCCCGGCCCGCCCGTGTGACACGGGCAGGGACATCTGCACCGGACCCATCCACCGGCCCTGATCGCTGAAAGCAATCACAGGAACTTGGGCACAGCAGACTCGCTTCCTGGTCATTGTTAAGAATGTAAACATCTCCAAAAAAACCCCATCACTGTCCAGGAAAATACCGTGATCTTCTCATTCTTTGATGTTCACTGGAATCTTGTCTCCATCAAAAAGAGTGATAGAAAGGAATTTTAGAAGATATCCTTAGATATAATGGCAGTGATGTCAGAAGCGGAGAGAAGGAACAATCATCCTCTGTCTTGTCACAGAAGCGACAAGGAAAGTGCAGGAAACAGTGGCGAGGGCTTTCAAGAGTGCTTTGTTTTATTGCCTTGTGGAGACTGCAGTAGAGAAGGAGGAAGTGAGATATGGATGTACTGAAATGCTAGTCCGGATAGGTTTTGCAGTGGTATTACAGTGAGATAGGTTTGTGAATCGACACTTGAGGAGATGTGGCAAACAAGAATGCTGAGGATGGGGGTTTTGCTTTTCTGTTGTTCTTATTTTGCAGAGAACTTGGACAAAGGATCTGGGGGAAGCACCAGTGTGCTGACATTTATAGAATGAAAATGACATGTCTTGTGAAATTGTTCCATACTACAGTATCAGCCCTGGACAGAGTAGTGGAAGGGTTGGCCCCACATTGTCAGAGGGAATGATGACTGCCATTAACTGTACAGCCAATGTACATTTCCAAGAAATGTAATTGATTCCCATTGATTTGGAATACCACCAGTGGAGGTACATTGCTGTCCCAGGATATTTTGCTTCCCTTTGTTTTATTTTTACTCAATATTGTAGTCTTTTAAAATCTACTTGTTAGTAATTGAGAACTTCTTAAAGTTGTGTTATCCAGTTCATGTTGAAAGACAAGAGACTTTAGGCACTGCTGGAATCACCAATTTTGCAAAAATTACTAGAGTTCTGAAAATTATGTCTTCGTGCAGGAGGACACTCTTGAGCTCCACATCAAGGGGTGCCGAGCTCCACCTGCCTTCCTTTTGCCCAGTGGGAGCACTCTTCATCTGCTCACTTTCCACAGAGCTCCTGTGCCACCTGCTGCTTTCCCTGTTCCAAGGGCACATTACCAAATGTATCTGTTGCATTTACATTCAGTGATTCTCTGCATTTTGTGAATAATCATGGATTGTACTCATGGCGTGGTACTCCTGATAAACTGACACTGTATGTTCTGCTGTGTTGCAGGCATGTCTGTGCTGTTCAGGGACCTCAAAACACTGGATCAATTTACTTCTGCTCTCTGTGATGCCTTAATTTTTAGATTTCACATTTTCCAGATTCTGCACTGCCTTAGTGTATAACTCTGAACTCCATATAAAGTGTCAGCAGGTTCTCCTCACAGCTCAGTCACACAGAACAATCCTTTTCCAGCCCAGACCCAAGGACACCACTGCAGCTTCAGCCCAAAAAGTGCAAACAGCGGGGAATGGAGGAGAGCAGTCTGGGAGGGTGGGACTGCATCATCAGGAGCTGTAATTGTAATTAACCCCAAGATGAAACGGACCAAAACTTATAAAAGTGTGAAAACTCTTGACCCATAGTCCATCTTGGGTGTAGCCACAGCCAGGCTCTTGTACTGCCCAAGGTGTGTCCTTTAAAGGCCTTTTATTAAATCCCTGCTTTATTCCTGTAACTCTGTCTAGCCTCTGTTCCAGGTCTGCCTCTCTAGGCATCATCTGTACAGGCCAAACTGCAGTTTGAGTTATTGCACGGTGTGAACTTTTTTCAAAGAGTTACTGAGCAAGACAGAAGCCTTTAACTTCCACTGAGGGAAGCTGAAGTTCCAAAAGTCACCTTTATGCCTGTATTTAGGTGTTTGGGCTGCTGTTCCTGCAGCTGCTTTGAGCAGCAGACTCAACCCTCTCAGGGCTCCATTTGTATTTAAGAGATAAAGACCCTGCCTTGTTCTCTCTCCAAATGCACAAGTTACACACTGACTGTTTCACAGTTTCTTTGGTGACTTGAAACCTTTCAAAAATCTGGCTCTTCCATTGTTTCCTCTTCACCTCTGTCTCAATTCCCTGTCTGTAAAATGGGGATAAGACCAAATTTCATACTTCCAAGGGGAAAAGCATGAAGGGAAAAAAAATTATCTTTTTGACACATTGGAGAGAAGTGATGTGTGTGAGACATTTGTCAGTAGTACATGAAGAGCTGATTAAACACTCATCAGTGATTAACCAACTTCTGACTTAAACTCTGTTGCTGCTTTTCCAATAGATGATTGTCAGCAGTAGGGCTGTTTCCAGGAGAGTGCCACAGAGCACTTCATGGGTACAGATTGGTGTCTGTGTCCTGGAAAGTAGGAATTAAAGGAATTAGTGATTGCATTAGGTGAGCAATAAAGCAGAGGTTCCACTTTAATGAGACAGCTAGACCAAAAGGTGTTTTGAAGCATCTATGAAAGATAGAATAGAACAGTTGAAAGAGACCAATAATCATCTAGTTCAGCTGCAAGAAGGATTGGCATTACTTACATTTATTTCAGTAAAAATGATTACTGGCATAATGTCAGTGTTCTGGGATCAGCATTTCAAACCCCTCTTGGTTAGGAGTTAAAAGGAGTTGTGATTCACAATGGTCACCTAATGCAATCACTAATTCCTTAAATTCTCCTCTGTATTCAGAGGATGAGGGCACAGAGTCTCTTCAGTGGTAAAATTATTGTAAAATTGACTAGTATGGATCTACAAGAAGACTTTCAGAAAACGAAATCCAATCTGTATTTGGACTGTGAGCAGATTTTGTCAAGCTCCCAGCTCCATAATGCATCTACTCTGCTGGCAGCTGACATTATTTCTTACCAATTTCCTGATGTTTCAAGGATCACCAGTATTGTGATGTTTGTCAGCCGATGTAGTGCTGCTTTCCCCAAGTTAGAATTCCCCATCCCCATGATGTTTAAACCAGAATCACACATACCCATTTATTCCCAGGAGGTTTAGATGGACAGGACTAGCACAGGGAAAGTCCTTCTGTGTTCTGTCTCCCAGTTCTGCAACATCTCCTTCTCACAGTTTCATCCTGCTGCCATTTCTGCTTCCAGGATCTCCTAACCTGACACAGACATCTACTCAGTCCCCAGGGAGCCTCTGGTCTATGAGTTTGGCCTTACAGCATCTGAGCCACAATGTCATCACCTTGGGGCCCCACACATGGATGGCAAGGGAGGAAATGGAATGAATTTTGCTGGCCCCTGCTTTCTTGTGGTGAGATCTGCAGCTGCCAGAAACTTCCAGCCTTTGTTCTGGGCTGGGAATGGGTTTCATAATGGGGAGGAAGGCACTTTCTATTCTGAGAGGAGAAAGCAGCACCAAGGAAGGTTTTAATTTTCTGCCACCAGTGCAGAGCAGACAGTTTGCTGGCAGCTGCTTGATAAACAGTGCAGTCCCGATCCAGTCTGTCACAGGGAGGGGACTGCAGCAATGGAGCACATTCTTATCCTGTGGGAAAGACTCCTTGCTGGAGTGATGCCTCAAGATTTTTGCTTTTTATACATTTTTCATAAATTTGCAGCTTTGTGGAGTGTTAATACATAGTTATAATTTCCAGTACTTTTTCTGCCCTCTCCCATAGTTTAACAAACCCTTAGGAATACATTCTTGAAATTCTGTTTAGTCTTAATTTTTATGCCTTCCCCTGCAATCAGGCACTTTTCCTCTGGTACAGTCGTGCACCCTGAGGTCCTGTTATGAAAATTGTCTGCTTGGTATTTTTCAAATGCTTGGAGGGAGGGTTCTTGTTTATAGGCCATTCTTACTTTTTTATTCCTCCCATCTTGCTGATGCTATTTTTCTATCTTGTTACCCTTATCAGAGTTCCTTTCTCTGACTTGTTTTTGTTTTCCCATGGTAAGTATAAATTTAAATTCTGCATCCATTTGCAAGAGCTGCTGCTTCCTTCTGTCCCCCTTAATTTGATTAATGTTTCCTTCCCTCTTTTCTCTTTATTCAACTGGTCATGTTGCTGATTTTAATATTACCTTGCTTTTTCCTGCTGTTTCTGAAATGCACTTTGTAAGAAATGGATCTGTCTCTGGCACCTTCATGGTCTCCCTGTGTATGTCCAGAGTCCTTTAGCGGCTTCAATGCCTTTATTTGACATTTCTCAGGTCTAAATTGATAACTTATGTTGTTTGAACTGAGTCAGGAGCCAGGGGAGTGCTGCACTGCTGCTTTTCCATTGCTGCCTTTACCCTGCTTTCTTTCACCTTCTCTTCAGAGCAGTGCTGTGTTCAGCTTTTGGTGTTGCTCTCACCAGATCCACCTTGCCAGCCTTTCTTTTTTCAGTTCTTGGCTCTTTCTCTTTTTCTGCTCAGCCATGGCTCACACTTCTCCACTGACTAATTCTCTTCATGTTCTGATGTTCTCTACCCTTGATTAATTTTCTCCATCTCTTCCATTACTATCTAAACCCTGAAAATCCTCTGCCTTTAAAGACTTCTAAGATCTCCTTCACCTCCTGCACTGGTCCCTCCCACTTTCACTTTGCCATCTTCCTAATTTAAAAGGGGAAGGTTCAAAGTTTGGCTTATTCCCTTCTCCTTCATTTCAGGTGGATTTGACCTGTTTTAGCTCATTCCTCAAACTCTTTCTTCCTCCTATGCTCAGCTGTTTCTTTCTAAGAGCTCTCTGCTTCCTCCCACAGGAAAGGAACAGGAAATAATCTCTTCTTTCTCTTTGCTTTGTTTCATTCTTCTCTTTCTTCTCCCCATCACTAAGGCAGAAATTTCTTACCTATTTTGTTATTGCAATCTCAGGTAACATACTCTGAGGATTTCAAGTGCAGAATTTCAAAGAATTTATGTGACTAATTGTTTGCTGTAGAAGGGAAGATGAAGTTTGTAGGTGGTGTTTGTACAACAAGTAGTGACTTTGCAGCATGGTGGGCTCTGTATCTCAGTCTCCAAGGCTACAGGCTACAGCAAGAGTGAACTTAAAACCCATGATGCACAAAATCCCTCAGGCACAAAGTGCTGTGAGATGTGCTAATTTTCTGTAAACAGCACTTAACCCTAATGTTTTGCTTCTTTATTTGAGAAATAATCA